ATTTTTGTGCATGACATAACACACCACCCCCCACAGTAAGTGAGCTCCCCTTGCCAGAATTTTTCTGGGACAATGGTACAAAGCTGATGCTGCCCATTCAGAGCCTCTACTGCCACAGAACACAGGGTCAGTGAGCCAAATTCAGATGCTCCCATGTCAACACCTGCCTGAAGGGCTCTGCTGACAATCTCTACTGTCAGGCAGCTGACCAAGGATCTTTTTAAGCATTCTGCAGAGAGGAATCTAAAAGCCCTTTTTGGGAGTTCCAAGCTAACCACCACAATGAGATGCTGAAAGTCAAATGGCTTGAGCATTTCCAGGACGAGAAACATAATTCAGCCAATTAACAGCAAAAGGTATCATTTATACTGCAGGAGTAATTGCTAAGTTTTCAGCCCTCTTCTAAATAGGAGAACAAGAATGAATTCTTATGCAGCCAGTCCCCTTCTTAATAGCTTCCTCCCCACTGCTGGCTTGCCCAGGTGTTTAACAGATTCCTTAAATGTGAGTTTCAGAACATTAGTTCTGCTGCACCCCTCTTTGTTTCTTTACAATAAAATCTAAATTACTTTGTTTCCTTCTGCTATTTCACCTCAGAAGAGGGGTCCTGCACTAGCTACATGACTCTTTTTTACAACTGCTTTCCCAAACTTTCATTGAAATCAAATGTATTTCAACTGGTTGAAATTTCTTGGTTGTTTTTTTTTTTTTCTTTGAACTGCTGTAATGTAACAGAAAACAGGTTTGGTTCTACTGGTTACCTAAAAGGCATTAACTACATCTTAGTAATTTCTGCATAAGAGACACGACATCAAACCCTTCACCTCCACCATGACACAGAGTACACAGCTCCTCGCTGGTGTCCTCACTTGTGAATGCAGGACAGTGCTGCAATCTATCTTCCTATGGGCTACCAGAGCTGCTTTTGTTAGAGTGCATCCATGAACACTTGGCAAGGGACTGAGAAAAAGGAATAGCTGAGACCACATTTATTTTCTATTTTTATCCAAGCTCCTTTTTTGTTGTCTACACTTAATTTCTCCATCACAGAAAGGCAGTATTTCAGGGAAAAAAACAGTGATCATGAGTTCAGGTTTTTTTATGAACAACTATGTGAAGGGATTGGTGTGTTACTGAATGTTTCTTCATGAACACTCCCAGCCTCCTTTTATACCACTGTACCACAGGACTTTATCTTCTTTCTTTAAAACTAAGCTGGAGTGATCATTTGATTATTCCAACCTAGGGAATAATTAATTATTCACAAACACCCAACTTCACTTTCAATCTAATATACATCAAACTATTTAGTCAGAAAAAACCAAGGCCCAACAACATGCAATATTTTATTTTCTACTCCACTGCTATACCCAGCATTCATGAAACCTTCAGATTTTTTTTCAGATTTACTTTGCTGTTATCCTTTTCAACATCATTTTCAAACTAGTTCAAAGAGAAGCATAACTCAAGGATAATAAAATTCTCTAATTGTGTCACTTAATCATCAGAGATAACAGCATTTGCTTTCAGAACAACTTCTCTAGTGATACAATTAAGCTCAAAGCTGGGATGTATTTTCTACTGTCAGCCAATCTATGAAGACAAAGGCATACTGCAGATAAGGATTAATTCCACCTTTTTATAAAGATATCCACACCTGAAAAATTCTTGTTTTAAAAACCGCAGAAATAAGAACAAAATAAAGGTACATAACATTCTATTCCTTTGCTGTAATCTCAAGCTGCTTCTGATAGGCAGGTGAGACATTCCTGACCACATCTGACAGGAGGGCAGAGTGTGGAGCACACAGGGAACCAGAATCTGGATTAGTCATTCTATGCTGCACTTCAGCACCTCCTTTTGCCTTCAAACTGAAGCAAAACAAACCTTTTCCAAGAAATGTGCTAGGTATGCAGCACATATAAAAGCAGTTAAAAACCTTTTAGAATGAAGATATTTTGTAATACCATTTTGGTTGGTTTAGGTTTTGTTTGGTGTTTTTTCAAATGTTAAATGCCATTGTAGGCAACATCTGATCCTGATAAGGTCTGATTTCTGGGTCATTTACAGCAGAACTATAGATTCAGACAGCAGCTCCATGGAAGAATGAGGAGCTCCATCCTTTAGATTGTGAGGTCTTCTCCAGAACACGAGGCTGCTGGACAATAGGAAAAGAACAAATATACAGATTCAGCACTTTGTCACTTTGTCTGAACTTGAATATTTGCTACTCACAACCACCTACCACCAGATTTCCCATCAGTTCACAGGCAAACTTAAAACAATAATGTCATCTATAGTTCTCTTACCTGACCATTAGCACACACCAGCACAGTTCCAAATAGGAGCTCCTTGCCTCATCCTGCTTTTCTGATGGAGATTTAGCATGGTTGGCTATGCTTCTTATAGTTGACACAAGTTATTTACCTCCCTAGAAAGTTTGCAAAGTTTTCAAGAGCTGATGCACTCTTTGTTTTAGGCAAGTAAAATCACTATTACCAATCATTTTGCTACTTAGGTTACAGTGTGCATAAAACTGCTAGATATTTTTCTGTTAACGTCAGCAGTTAGCTGGAAGATGAAAACAAACTACATTGCAAGAGAAAATATAATATAAAAATCAGGAGACAGAAAATAATTGTTTCACGCACCTTTGAGAGGTACCTACGTTCCCACCCGAACAGAATTTTGGTTGGAATGCTGCATGATCCTTTGTAAAGCGCGCCCCCGCGTGGTACCCAACATCTCTGCAAAACCAATTTTTTTCACAGCTCCCAGGTGACGTTTCTGTCTCCAAAGCCACCTCGAGTCGGTGCTCACACCTGCCCAGGTACTGGCACGGCTTCTCCTAGTGGGAGTGTCCCAGACACGTGCAACAACACATGCAACATTCTGCCCTAGAGGCACTTTCTCAATCCATGGGCAAGGTCAAAATTATTAAGAACATTCTTTTCTCATAGCTGGTTTATTAAAGTCTTCTCAGTATTCTCTCTGCATTTTTCTTCAAAGATTAAAAGTTACTGAGTAGGACCAACCCACTGTCTTCAGAAGAAATACAAGGATACACTCACTTCACACAAAAAAAGAAAAAAAATCTTGAAGGAAGAAAACAGACACTCTGATGAAATAGCAAATTGAAGGAAGTCCCATTGGCAGTCACTCTTTAATTTAATAGCACTGCCAAAATGCAGGGTTAGAAGAGGAGTAGCAAATACATTTACAAAACCAACATCTACTCAATAATACTGAAACATATTCCAAGCATGTGTATTAGGAATAACCAGCTGTGGCACCAAATAAAACCTATAAAAAACCAGAAGTGGAACTCAATAGGACTGTCAATGAAAACATTTATTCACTTTTAAAAATGCATCAGAAATAATATTGTTCAAGTGTGCAGAAAACCAAACTTACACAGAAATAATGCAGCTGGTTATCAAGATCATTGTTCTACTTCTTTCTTCTGCTTAGGTAGAATATCACCCCATTCTTCCTGCTTTGTCTAGTTTTATTTTAAAGTATTTAATTAATTTAAGTATTTTAATTTCATTAGGATTCAGGAAATACACAATCATTTCAATGAAAAGTGAGCTTTTTTTGCAGCACTTGGGTTAGTACATGTGCCAGTTATGACAGTGTCACAGACAGACAGTATGTTCTTGCAATGAAATACTCTAATCTGTTGGCCTTTTTCACTTCAAGTTTTTTTAAGGACTATTTCATCTCATATATCATATTCTTTACTATATTTTTAATAATTTTTATTATTTCAGCATTTTCCATCTTTTTTTTCCTCTTAAGGTAAGCTGAAAATACTAACCAAAACCAATGGTCCTGGGAACAAAATAGATAATGGTTTGTAACACAGGGATATTATTGTTCTGGTAATGTAAAAGAATGTCCAACAGAGGGTGATAGAGACCACACATTTGTTAGACACAACTCAATTATCAGTTTTCTGAGTCATGGATCAGAAATGCAGTTAAAAAAAGTTTCTGGCCCTTTCCGAGTTAGACTGAGATCAAGGAAAGCTTTAAAGCACAACCAGCTTCACCTAGATCTATCCTGTTCAAAGGAAATTCAAAGCTATGGCTTTGCTTGCACTAAGAAACACAGAACAGAAACAAACATGGCATTGTCCAGATGTGCACAAGTAAGAGGAACTGGGACATGCAGAGGACAAGGCTGTATTCATCAGTGATTTCCCCTGGCAAACCAACTATTTAAACTGAACTTGACCTTTCACTATTTGAGTTCATGAGCCCCATCTGAGCCACTTCTGCAGCTTTTGCCAACACATATAGGAAACATCAGCCAAGCGTCAAATGCCCCTCGCTAGGAATTTATTTCTTTCACTAAGCTCACTTGAAAGATTACAAATTTTTTTTCTAAACACTGTAACATTTTGTTTAAAATTGCTACCATCTTGCAAAAAGTGTATTTATTCATAGCAAATGGAATCTACACAGCAGATGGCAAAAAGTCAACACAGCAGCTCTTTCTGAACCCATGAAATGTAACCACTCAATTGTTTTCTAAGAGAACATCACTGCTGAGTAAGAGGAGAGCCAGTAAGACCTGAGGCAAACATGGCCCAATCAGAAAAGTTTGACTACAAGCAACTATAAAGCAATCCAAAGAAACCATTCTTTGGATTGCAGGTTCTGAAAAATATCTCCACTCTAAAACTGAATTTAAAAAAAGATATTGTATTTCTTTCTAATTTAAGCTTTCAATCCTCGTGCTCTTCTGTAGAAAGTAAAATATGTTGAAAAAGCTCATTGACAGACACCTTAATTGGGGCTAAAATCCTAAATCCATCCCTTCAGCACTCCTTAGTTTGTTCTCAGTAAATACAAAAGTTATTAAGAAATCCTCCAACCTGCAATAATAAAAGCTGATGTTTTTCACATCTACTTTAATACAAATAATTTTTTTTTTAAAGAAGCAAGTTTAAGCCAGCATTGCCTAAGTTTGGCAGCTGGGGCAGCCTGCCTTACCTTGCACTGCCCTGCCACGCAGATGGCCGTCCCGTTGGGCTCGCAGGGGGTGCCGTCGATCACGGTCTCCGCCTGGCGCACGTAGAAGCGGTAACCGATGGCCCGGCAGTTCAGCTCACACTTCTGACTCCCCTTCACTGCGGACACAACGCAAGGCCCCGTTACAGAGAGCACAGCAACAGACTGGGAAAGGAAAAGCTCCTTAAACGAGCAGTAAGGTCCGAAGGGAAGGAACAAATACGCAAACAATGCATTGTAAGCGACCACATCAAATGAACGGTGATTAAGAAACCAACTCCAAGGTAAGCACTCCAACACGCCTTATCACAGTGTAAACAGATCCTCTATTGTTAACGACTGGCACTTCCCTAAATGACCACGAGTGCTTTTAGTTCCTTAAAAACATTGCCCAGTTCGTCTTCTTTTCCTAACTCCCGAGTGTCAGAAAAGTTACACCATAATCAGAAGGATGTGCATCAACTCAGGCTCACTGTACCAGTCTGTTCAGGTCCGTTAGGTACACAAACAGCCAGCACTGAGAAACATTTTAAACAGGACAGATGCACTTTTGTAAAAATTCTCTTGTTTTTCTCTTCATTTTTACAAGTTACACTTTAGTAGGTGTTGCACTAAAAAAACTCAACTCTTACATTCTATTCCACTAAATTTGATTTTCAAAAATGTATAAAATGCTTTATCATTCAAAACCCTGTGATTTCTGCTGACATGCAAGAACCAATAGGAAATCAGTCCACTGAACTCTGGGTGAGAGAAACACAGAAGACAAGAAGCAAGACATGTTATCTTCCCTGTGAAAATCTGTTCCTTGAGCAGATACAGTCTAACACTCCCCACATCTTATGCTATCAGGTTTGTTAACACATTTGTGCAGCCTTTCTGTTGCAAATCATCTGTCAGGTCAGAGTTGCTCTCAGCTTATTCCCCATTTGCTAACTGACATAACAGTATCTTCAGCTTCCTCCCAACCCAGAGTAGTGCTGATACACAGGGGCAGTGAGGTCCAAACAGAAATCTTTTTTTATGACAATGCTTTCATTGCTGCCACAATAATGAACCAAAATTCCTCTCACTTCATAAAGCTTCAGCTCATCCCCTATACTGAAACTGAAAGCTGCTATTTAATCTAGGTGTCAAAGGAGATGCTATGTGCCCTCGTTGAATGCTAAAACATTGTGTTCACAAGATTTTCTACTTGATTTCAGTGGATTTTTGAATGTTCAGCTAAAAAATAGCAAACAGCCAAAATAAATAAAAGCAATCACATCAAATATATATTAAACAACGGTTTTCTGTAGAAGTACTAAAATTTCAGCTCAACTTCAGTTACCCCCTGTGCAGACACAGGATTAATGCAGACCAATTCTGTATCTTACATTTTCCTGTATACAGCTGAGCTCATTGAACTGCTACTCATATACACTATGAATTGTGTCTGGCAATCTTCTGATAAACCCCACAAAAACACCTACTCATTTTAAGAGAGGTCAAAGATCTGTTTACTGAGTTTGGGTTTTTTGCAGAAGCCATGCATGCCATGTTCATCTAGGTCATCCATCCATTGGCTACCTTTTCTTTAGATTCACTAGCTTATGATTCCAATTACTTCACTTAGTTATTAAAAAAAAATAAATCCAACCCCCCACCCACCCCCCAAAAAAACCCCAAAACCAAAAAACCAACCAACCAACACCAAACTGAGGTATTTCCTGCAGTTCAATCTCCAAGTGTAACAGTCTAACGATAAACTGAGCTTTATTCTTAGCAGCTTCATCACTTCACACATAACTATATTCAGAATTCTCAAATAAATATAACCCAGTTTCACTAATTCATTACAATTTAAGTCAACTTGTCCTTTTCTCAGTCTGAAAGTGTCCTATTTTCATAACATGCAAAGCTAGCAATCAAGCAGCACCTCTGGAGAGTACATTTTCTTATCTTTTCATTCTCTAAAATCAAGTCAAACAAGCCATTTAGGGTTTCTGAAATGTCCTTATCTTCTGTGTTTGTTCCCTTGAGTTCAGTATCCTGAAGCCTCACATACCCATATTCTTCCTCTCACCATCTCCCCCATAGTTTTGATACTTTAAAATATTTATTCTTTAAATTACTAGCTGGCCTTCTAGATCCCAGTGAAAGTTTTGTGCTACTTGGATATGAAAAAATTACCTGCTGGAGGATGGTATTTTTTCCTGGATCTCTCTCATCCCTCACTCCTGCTGTGATAGGTCAGCCTACTGCATTGCTAATGCAGCACAGCAACAAACCCAACCAGGCTGAGATCACTTGCTGTGTAAAAATCCAATTCCCATTTCATTATTTCTGTGTTTCATTCTTTCTCACCAGGAACTGTTCCCACTCATACAAAAAGAAGTATTAGAACAGTCACTGTCTCTGACCACAAAAAAACAAATCAGCCTTTAACACCAAACACACCCTATAACCCTCTGGCCTTCAATATTCAGATTATTTTGATGAGTATGTGTAAGATACTGCCTTGATCAGGCATATACCAACCACACCACCCAAAGACAACACTCCCAAATGTGAATGATCTGAAAAAAACTTGTCTACAAAGAGCAAAATCTGTTAACTGAATTGCCCCTGCTGAATGACAGGCATTTCCCATAAGGATTTTATGTAAGCATTATGTATTTATTATTGTGTAAATGCAGAAATTACAGCAGAACAAACACATTTTAGAATTCCCATGTAGAACAAGACACCACTCTAGTAAAAAAACCTCCCTTACCCCGTGTTCTGCCACAACTCTTGAGGTTTTACAGTTTAGGTGGTAGGTCAAGCTGCACTACTGGCATGGCAACTGGACATAAAATGTCAATTAAACAAAGAGCTGTGAGGGGATTGATTCCACACAGGCCACATTTCTGACTCCCATGTCAGCTGATCCCACACTTCACAAAAGGATCTATCTTCCCAACTTGCTGGCAGCAAGACACATTTCCAGAAAAAAAACCTCAGCTCTTCTGAAGTGTGGCACAGTTTCTAGGACAGTTAATTATGCAGGTACTGGTTGACATGTCCTCCTAGTGCATTTGTTTTTTATTCCCAAGCTCACCTTAGCACAACCGAGTCTTTGTGCTAAGTCTCACCTTATTCCCCCATAATTAAATAGTGAACTTGGGTGAAATTTAATGTTGCCACACAGGTTCTGCCAGACATATTCATTATTGATTTAACTGAAGGAGGTGCCTTTAGTGAACAGTCCTGGTAACATGTAATGTTTGGTTTTCATTTTACAGACTGAAAAAGTATCTAAATCAAAAAAACCAGTACTTTCCTTAAAACATCCTTACCAAACCAGCCTTAAGTACCTCAGGAACATCCTGGTCTTCTCCAAACTGCAAGACTCCAGAATTGGTTTTTTTTCCAGGTCCTCTGTTGAAACTTACCTTCCACCTTTCCCTATGAGGAATAAGATCGAGGCATGCTAAAGCAGGACCACACCACAGTTCTACTGCCTTCCATGTCCCCAATAAGAACAGCAAAACCTCACATCTTACAAACTGCACATCACACAGCACACATTGCAGTGAAAACTTTCCACCATTCTCCTAAGATCGATTTTACTCATCAAACTGAAACCACAAATATCAACACATTTCATTGCAGATTTCAGTGCAGTAGAGGTTTGAGGAGAAAGATTCAACTGTCAAACATATCCACGCATTTTTAAAGGCAAAAGAGTAATTTATGTGTTATCACACTACAGCCAGTGGCTGCAGTTCGAAGCGTGTCTCCAGCAGCATTTCCGGCTGAGGCCTCTCCTCGGGCCCTGCACAGGGGACGGCAGCCGCATGCCCGCTGGGAAGCACGAGTGAGCAAGGGAGAAGTGTCCTCCACTGGGATTCACAGGCTGACAGCCAAAACTCAATCCTGATCTTTTAATTCCGCTACAGGGAAAGCAAGCACTGGAGTATCCGCGCCCACGACACGCTCCCGCCCCGAGACGGTGTCCCCGTGATGAGGCGAGGCCGGCCCGGCCCGGGCACCTCAGGGCGAGAGCAGCGTCGGGCACGGGCCAAACGCGGCGTGGCCCGAGGGAGAAACTCCCGGGAGAGAGCAAACAAGCTAAAACTCCCTCCAACTGAACACGCTCGTTCTTCTCTTGTTCTCGCCCCGGGCCAGCCGCTCCCCGGGAGCGCAGCTGGCTCCCAGCAGGTTCAGCCCTGAGGGAGCCGATGGACCCAGCGAGGGCCGGGCACGGCCGGCAGCGATGGCGCTGCCCTCCCTCAGCCGCTGCCCTCCCTCAGCCGCTGCCCTCCCTCAGCCGCTGCCCTCCCTCAGCCGCTGCCCTCCCTCAGCCGCTGCCCTCCCTCAGCCGCTGCCCTCCCTCAGCCGCTGCCCTCCCTCAGCCGCTGCCCTCCCTCAGCCGCTGCCCTCCCTGGCGCGCCGGGCTAACCAGCCTCCCTGTGCAATTTCACCCTCATCCCGCGCCCTTTCGTTACATGAAAGTATACGAAATTAAAGTCCTCACAAAACACCCTGCCCAAATTTAGAAACCATGCAGGTTTTCTAGAACCCAAATCTAGAACAAGGCAGGAAGTCACCCCTTCGGAAACATCCCTACTTGCAGGAGTTTGTGAATAGACCTGTTTGCATTTCATCGAGAAAGAGCATTTTCAAATCTTAGCGCTGTGCTGGCCTGTCCTATTGCCATGCTGAGGGGCCATGCTGAGGGGCCCTGGAGCAGCACGGTGGGATGCACAGTCCCCCAGCTCCAGCCACCTTCCCAGGGCTGGACAGGGCTGGCACAGCCCACAGCCGGTCACCACAGCCTGTCACCAGGGCTGGACACCATGGCTGGACACCAGGGCCAGTCACCCTGTGTGGTGACCCTGAATCACACGCGCTCCACCTTCCACACGGTCTGAATCCCTCAGCATCGCACAGCCCCCGTGTCCCACTCTCCAGCCAGGCCTTCTGCCTCTGACCCTCCACCTGCACACCACAGAGTGTGTGGGAGGGCATTTATACTTTATGCCAGCTTTTCCCCTCCTTCAGCTTCCTCTTCCAACATGTTCTGCCACCCTCAGCAAGTCCCCACCCAAGGAAAGGTTGTGGGGAGGCACACAGGCATGGTGGATGAGGCCAG